TTACGAGACAACACTTTTTACCAAAAAAAAAAATTGATGATGTAGGTAACCTACCTATCGATTTTATGGCCTCTTAAACTGCAGTCTTATTATTTTTATTTTTTTCAAAGGAATTACCTATTTTCTTAACGGTTTGTCATCGATCTCGTGGCTATTTCGACAGTCGAATAGGTATAATTTGTTATAGTATGATAGTGGCATGATACACATTGTTACCAAATCAGACGAAATTCGGGTTTTAAAATAAGAATTTTAAATTTGGTACAGTCGGTGCTGTGTCGATCTTTGAGCCATAATAAGTGTTATAGATGTGGTGTGTAATATAATTCGCTTTGATATAGGTATAAGATACACAAAATAATGAGAACGGACGAGCGGGGGGGGGGGGGGGGCGAGAAAAGCCTTTTATTGTTTATCAAAGTAAACGTATACGAAACATTTTGCAAGAGCCATTGGGTTATTTCATAAAAAACTGTAATATTATGTTTGTTATCGCGTTTGGCTAAACAAAGCCAGAGGGAGTATAATATGCCTAAACGAAAACGATCAACAATGATATTATTGTAATATAGACATAATAGTATTATAGTAATGTTGTACGAAACGAACGCTTAGCGAGGAACTTTTTGCCGAGGAACTGCAGTTCCGAGTAAACACTAAATTATATTATTACCCTGGTATCTATATCAGCTACCTATTGTATTGTAGTCGTAAATAAACGTTCCTCAATTTTAATAAACTCGAAATTACTGCAGTATAGTGACGTGGTGCATTCGTTGCAGTTAACATACCAATTTTCGTCCGACGAACGATGTATAGCTGCCACGACGTACTGTACAGTCATTTCAACGTTGTTGTTTTTAGAAAACAACGACATTATTGACGACTTATTTATTGTATGACGTAGATACGGTTTTCTGTACAGAAAAATCTTACGATAGATGAGGTTTTTTTTTTATAGCACTGTTTGAACCGTCTATAAAATGCCGTACATAATATTAATATATTTTAAACAAAATGTCGGAGTCAGCGGAAAATGTAGTGTGATCATATTTAAAAAATAAAGCTTACATTAAAATTGTCTAATTAGGTTTGTGATACTTATGAAATCCAATATTATTTTTTAAACGTTGCTTGGGCCCGAGTTGAGGAATTTTGAAATGTGTCTAGATATTCCCTATATATTCCTTCTGCCCGGCAGTCGGCGGGGATGTGCTCGATTGCACACAGAGATGTAAAATGTACGTAAATTTTTTTTTGGCAATTTACCGGGAAAAATGTACGTATGTTTATCATAAATTTGGTAAATTTTGATAATTTTGGTGTGCTACCATAGGAACAACCCCAGAAACTCTTCTCTACCGCATTTTCTGTTGCATTTCCATGAACTTATAATTATGGTAACATTTATTTTTTTATTTACTGCATAGTATTATTTGTTTTAATTGAACAAGGGGGTCGTTATTTTTAAATTTAGTGACTGGGGTTCTAGTTCCAAAATATGTGTTAAAAATAATAAAAATTATGTATAAAACATTTAAAAAAAATTTGAGAAGTTTAACCAGTGCCCCAAAGCCTTGAAAAGTTTAACATTACTAATATTTTAAACGTGGTTTATTATCTAAATCTGTTATAAAATCAAATTTATATTAATTGTTATAATAATTGATCGTATCAGATATTCTTATGATGTACTCGTATGTTTAAGTATGTACTACACGTCTACACTATCAGTGGTTGTGGACGTTTTAAATTTTATAATATAAACTATTCCATTTTATTAATATGTTATGACTAATGAATATTGGCCCCGTGAAGCCGTTTAATTTGAGGTGCCGCCACATGCTAGTTTTTATTGGTAAATTTTCAGGTAATTTACCTTACCGATAAATTTACGAGGTAAAAGTTTACCGAGCTCACATCTCTACGTATAGGTTACGCCATATGTTTATAGGATAATATAGGTAGGTACTATAAAATCATAGTATTTTGTGAATGTAGAGAACCGAAAGAATACGTAATAATTATATAATCACGTTATACTATAGGTATAAATGTATAATAATAGTCGATATCATTTTTGGACAACTTACTACTCTTGGCAAATTGATCCCACAACTCAAATTGAACGTGCCTCTAGACCAGCTGGTATTTGTCCGGAAATATTGGTAACGATGAACCAGACTCCAGGCCAGCCGGAAACAGTACCAGATACAATTTGTTTTGTAATTATTACGAGACAGCCTGGATCCTTTTGAGTATATTTTGCAAAATCTTGTGCCTCTCGGAAAAGAACGAGTGTATATATATCGTGCAGATGAGTATATAATTACCCGAGCAAAGTTAACTGTTTATAGGTTAGGTGATTTCTATATGAGAGGAGAGAAATTATTATTTTACTTTTGATACCGTGATTATTCCTGTACCGAAAACAAAAATATAATAAAATATATTATCGTTATATACCTCATTATCATGATCTATTATTATATACCTATGGCCTATATATGTATATATATATTATGTCTCTCGGCGGTTCCGGCCGGCATTTGTGGATATCTCTTTTGCTCGTGATCCAGACGACGGACCGGACTTTGCTGCTCGACTCTTCCCGATAACAATTATTTACTAGCTATATATATATAAAATTGAAACGTCTCGGCGGCCAGCGACTCCATTGTCGTCCGTTTGAACCCGGATTTTTCGCCATCCCATTGTATTGCGGCGTGCCCGACTACGTACATAATAAATATATATATATGTGTGTGTTTGTGTGGGTGTGTGAACACTATTACAGACGTCGAGCCATTATTGCGGACATTATATTACTACAACGGCAGTGTTCGCCGATGCACTCTCGTCTCTATTCTTTACTGCCCTCCCGAGTACATATACATTCGTTAATTAACGATAATGTGTAATGTAATAATAATAATAATATGTACTATCGCAGTCGGCGCGCATTCGTTCATTACTATTATTAGAGATATGTACCTATATTATTACGCGTATACCGACGGTTTTGACGCCGATACTCGATAATAGGTACTATAGACAGTGTCCGGATTAGATAAGTATTTTTTTATCTGGATAAAGAGATAAAGATAATGCAACTCAAATTTTAGATATAAAAGATAACTTAACTCGATTTTTATCAATAAAAAATTATCCAAGATGAATTTTTAGATACCTTGTAACTATTTATCTAAATAAGATAAAAGATGAACAAATAATTATCTAGATGCTCGTATAGATAAGTCCAAACACTGATTATAGATATAGGTAGGTACCGTTTACTATCATATTTTGGTGATTTAGACTCAACGTAATTCGTAAGTTAATAATCATTGTCCATTTTTAAATTGAGAGCATGGAGCGATAAATGTATTAGTTTTACAATAATTACGAGTAAATTATTTTTGTTTTTGTACGTCTGAAGCATTCACGGATCCAGAGCAAAGATGTGGGGGGGGGGGCACAACAATTTTTTTACAACACAAATCCAATTATAATAAAATATTATACTTTATTCTTAATTTAAAAATGTCGTCATAATAGTAGGTATTAATGTGATAAATGAATTATTGATTATTTAATATATAAAGCGACAATGTGAAAAGACGTTTAAATTTTGTTTATTTGTTATTTAATATATAATATTTATGTTTACAAAAAATATGTGGGGAAGGGGGCTGCCCCCCACGGATCAGTCCCTGGTCTGAATATCCTTAAGATTGTAGTAGAAAAACGTTTATATCTTTTCAATATTAAAGGAGGGTTGTGGTAACTAGCTGGATCTACTTAGTGCTTTGGGCAGTACTAAGTAGTTAGTCAAGAGTAGAAATTTACCTGTACATTAAATAGATATTAATAGTCTTCAATATTACCTACTTATATGAGTTGCTCTCATATCATTTCGAAGGTATTTGAAGTTCAAATTTTAAATTTTTACAACACATTAAAAACCACGAAAAATGAGCAAATAATTACTTTATACTTATAGTTGTGAATATATTAAATTGAAAATTTTTTTATAATTTTACAATTCGTATGATCTCACGAACGAATAAAACATTTGAAGGTAGTTACCATTAAATATATGCGTTTAAGTATACATATTTCATATAATTTCTTAAGTTTATTAAAATAATATACATATATATAAATGTATTTTAAAATATAAAATTGTTATTTATAATTTCGTGTTTTCAAAGAATTCCGGAGATGAATATTTGGTTGGAAGAATATCAACAAACTTAAGAGTTAAAACCTTTTATGCTATTAATTATTAATTGTACACTTAGGATAGGTAATTGCTATATTTATACTAAAAAGTATAAATACAAATTACGTGTTTATTTACTATATCATTTTTAAGTTATATTTTTTTATTAATATTTCTCACCATTTAGACACTAAAAAATTAACACATAATGTAATATAGGCAGGTACCTACTATAATACGTTGAACAAGACATAATCGCAAAACTAATTATTTCCATCGCTCCCGAGTATTTACACGAATATGTGAGTCGTATTGTAATATGCATTTACCTGAAAAATATTTTTAACATATATTAAACTTTAGACATTTTTTTATGTTGTACAAGTTTAATATCTCAATGCTTAAAATGTTTAAATAAAAATAAAATGTTTTATATTTTGATTCACGTTTGTGTTGTTATTGTATTAATTGAAAAAGAAAAATTCAATATCGGAAAAATTATTATGTAGATGAAAGCCGGATCCAGGACTTTGGCTTTTGCTGTTGATCGTTCAACTTTCATTAATGTTCTATTGAGTTGAATGGAATATTTTATTCTGATTTTTCTATTTAAGGTTAATAATTAACAATTATCGTGAGATTTCTTTCGGTCTAATTTTTGTATAGGAAAATATTATCTTCACAGTAATTTGTGTGTTTGCTTGGAAGGACTTTGCAAAAGCTCGAGAAACGACTAGGACTGACTCTAGATTGGTGTGGTTTTAGTGAGTGTGAGTTAGTTATAATGGCTGGTATTTCGAGTCTTTAAGCGCTCTAGTTTTATTCCAGCCCGATGTTGGAAGAGTTTTAATAACTGTGAATTGTTGATGTGAAGATATTCCAGCATTAAAATTAACTTTTTTGATAATGCATTTGGAATTTGTTCGGCTTTCGTAACTGTATTTTTTTTTTTTATCATGTTTTCTTGGATGTGGTCAGTTCTTCTTATTGCTACATATGCTGCCTTTATTACTATAATAGTTGTTGGTTCGTTAACCGTTTTGTCAATAAATACTTCATTTGTAGTTTGTTCCGTTTTCATTTTAATCAACTAATTGATTTTGTATGAGAAGCTGTTGGTCAATCAACCATTTTGTCAATAAATACTTCATTTATATTTTGTAAATCTTCATTATTATCGACTAATCGATTTTCGACGAGGTAACTGGCCAATTCAACTGGAGTTCGTATTATCCAATAGGAGATTTGAGTTTCCATTTGCTCATTGAATCGGTTTTCAGTGTTAATGGATAAGTTTGATCTGTTATAGTAGCTATGTATAATCAGTGATCGCAGCCATTCTAATCAGGGAGCTGGGCATGTTCCGTTTGATACTAATATATAGGGGATGTTTTTACTTGCTATTGATGATTTGTAGGTCAACCATTGTTTAGGAGTAATAGAATTGGGTTTTCTGTAATATTAATTTCTAATAATTTGCAAATTTCTATCCGTGTATAAAAATCCTCGTAAAGCATGTAGTGGCTATTGAAATCGTCACCTGAACATTTTGGGTTCGCGAAAACGATAAATAATATGAGTTAAATCGTGGAAGCTGAAGTTAGCACTATCGAGAAGTACTGCATACACATTATTATTTTGAATTTAACTAATATTTGGCTTACGAGATGTGTTTATAAGTCGACTCGGCGATTTTCGATGTTGTTTCTCTAAAAATATAGTTCTGACTGGCGCTAGCCATGCAGTCCGCCTGCAGGATTCCCAAACATAATGTGTGTAATAATATTACAAGACGTCTTCGGGTATCCAACTGGAAGTGCATTGTACTACCGGTCCTGAAAACAAACAAATAACGCGTTATTGTAAATTAAAAAATCATTATTTCATACGGCATGACGATAGCCCTGAACGTGGTGGGTGAAAGCGGGGAAGAAGAGGGTTGGAAAAAATACGACTCCTGGCCGCACCTGTATTATACGTGTATAATATATAATATTGTTTGTACACTTTAATGTACGGGCACAGAGGAAACGACGACGACGACGCGTGCACACAATTTGAAGGGCAATATCGTTAATTTTTTACTCGGCAAGTCGTAAAAATAAATAATTCGTCGTCGTCGTCGTCGCCGGAGACGGTTGAGCCGTCGTCTGCACCGGCGGCGGTGGGTGGCGACGTCGTCGTCGTATAACACAACATATTATTACGTATTATAACAGCGCAATAGTATATTATAATAATAATAATATGTGCTAGCGGGGTGGTTTTTCTCCCTCATCCCTCTCGCTGTCTCTCGGTTTTCCTTTTTTTCCTGATTATCATCGGGCGGCGGCGCTGCGTTTACGATAATAATTACACTCTCGCGCGACGAAATATTATTATATTATTATATCGGCTTTAAGCAGGGGTTCGAGCAGCGTGGGTTGGCGAGAGGGTAGTAGGGTGAACAGAGAAAAGAAATAATAATAATATAAAACAAACCATCCGCCGCCGCCGCGCTTATACACGCGTTATTATTATTATTATATAAATAATATCCTATGGCCACGAGCGTGTGTGTGTGTGTGTAAGTACTGCGAGTGCGAGAGCGGTGTGTATATTATATAAAACGTATATATATATATATATATACATGATATATACGCAGGGGCCGTGTTTTTAGCGCTAGCGGACCTAAAGTCGGTGGCTGTGGTGGCGGTGTGGGTGGCGGGTCGGAGGGGGTGGCAATGTAAACTGTCACGGCAATGACGGACGGCCCCATAAAGCTGACGAGTGACTCCGGAGGGCGCCTCCTCGAAATGGCTCTGCAGAGCCCCGTATATCACTTTTATTACACCCATCTTCATTTTCATATTTCATATTTGCATTTTCTCCCGCGTTATAAATCAGAGAGTTTATGGCTAATTAGGCCTTTGCACTAGGACCGGAGGGACGCGGCGGGCCGGACGGATAACGGTCTTGTTGCCCCTCCGCTATAATATTGCACACCGGCGGCGGCGGCGCTGTTATTATATACACCCGTATATATATACATATATATATTCATATACAGATATGGAGAGAGAGAGAACGAGAAAATGGCAGAGAGTGTGAGCGAAGCGGTGACAGGGGTGGTAGTGGCGGAGTAGAAGGCACGTATATACTGCTGCGGGGATGGACGGAGAAAGGGTAGCGCCGGCTTATCGGACCTAACGTTCGTCTCTACATCTCTCTCTCTCTTCGTCTCTTTTCGCCTCTCTTTCACCCGAGCACCTAGCTGTCTCTCTTTTTCCACCCCCACCGTCCCGCAGTATATCTCGCCAGCAACCCCCTCGTACCGCGGCGGCAGAGCAACAGCAGCATATACCGCGTGGTACCCCGGCGGGACGAGAGCGGTTACTCCTTGGTCCAATCTCGCGCGTGCCCTATCCCACCTCCTCCGCGTACCCCCTCACCATATCGTCCGTGACCTGTTCGGAACACAAACCGCCATAAAATACCGACTCAACGCACACACACACACGCACGCGCGCGCACACACAAACGACACGACCGGGGCGAGAATAAAATAAAATCCACCTAACCCGTCTTCCGTCGCCCTCCACGCGTCCTCGAACGCATCGCATTATATAATCCCCGCGATGGCCTTTTTTACGTAAATCATTCGCTTTTTTATATTCGCATATATATATATATATATGTGTGTGTATAATATACACGCTTGTGCAGTGTAATGTATATCTATAACGATAATAATAATAATAATACGAATTTCGGCCGGAAAAAATTACAATGTCGATTGCCCCCTCTTCCCTCTCGCGCAGCTCATCCTATATAATATAATACCAACAACCCCTAACGCGCGGCCGAACACGACGTCGTAACATATTATTTTAGTTCACGCTCTATAATAATATAGAGATCTGATGCTCGCATTCACACACACACGCCAAGTATAAAACGGCGACGTTTCCGTCACAATTTTTTTTTTTTTAATAGGTAATAACAATTGTGCGGGCGGACAGATGGCGTCATAGTGCGTATATCGGCCACCACTTGTACGACTCGGAACATATACCTACACTTACACCACATACCTACACACTTGTTATTATAGTCGCATACACTGTACATGATAGTGCTATACAATTTTTTTTTTTGTTTTTCGTACATCGTTCGTGGTACTCGTTTGACTTCGTAGTCGTAAACCGTTTGCAGAGCTCGTGATTATTGCACTAATAAAATAATTAATTAAAACACCTCAGTGTGATTACTCTCTTGTAAATAAACTCGGATGCGATTGTATAGGAGCGATAATCATATCGAAATATACAAAAGCAGTCGTTAAATACTTCAAAAATAAATATTATAACAATTAACAATAGTTATGTCACATTCGAAGATTTCACATAATATAGTTAAAATAAAATATTTAGTTTACATATTGTTATTTTTTTTTTTTTTTTATTAAATGAGCCACAACAACATAGATTATTGGCTGTTATTAAATTTGACATAGAAAGATAAAACGGAGGGAGAGTTATATAATTCAAGTTTGGGGCGTGAATGCGTATTTAGATTAAATTATATAATTTAGTTAGTTTTAAAAAAGTAAATATCTTTTGGATGTTGTCCGGATCCGGGCCGAGTGCTTCATAAAGATTGTCAGCTAGTTTGAGGTTGACTCTGACGTCGTTGTGTTCTAGACAAGGGCATATGATGTGCTTGACTGTAGGTGTTACACCACAGGAGAGACATGGTTCGGGATTCGTTTTGGTCATTAGGTGTTTGTGGGACATATTGTTATTATCTAATGTCATTATGGCAAGACGATTTTATACAATTCTTTTGGAACTCAAGCAAATCTACGTGCTGCAAGTTGCAGACCTTAAACATCAGGTATACAGCTGAATTGTGTATGAAAGGTGGTTCATTTATAGGAGAACACTGATTTTCCCATATGGATCAGGGCTCGTCTACAACTATGTTGAGCCCGTATACAATTTGAATATTTATAATTATTGATCAATTCCATAACGAAATTCGATTTCTACACACTGAAATCCTGAAAAGAATATTATTATAATTCGGAAATATAAAATGTAAAAAAATGTATACTGCATTCAAAAAATAAAAAAAACATAAGATAATATAATGAAAGTAAAAAAAATACAATTTGTACAAAAATTCCACTTTAGTAAGAAAAAATGAATTTTTTAAATACTTATATGCTTTTGAAAAAAATTAGTACAATGACCTTGTTCGAGAACAGTCCTCGAGTCTAATATCGATGTTCAAATTAATATCGAATACAATTAGGTACATTTTTATCGATCCACGTGATCGCGGCCGTGGGTAATTTCGTTATAATATAACATAGAGGTATACGTGGTCGTTGTATCACGGTCGTCGTAATCTCCAATCCGTCTGAAATATGTATAATTATAATATTATTTGTACGCAGTATATTGTATTGTTTTTTTTTTTTTTTAGTTTGTCTGCGCCGTGGACACACTCGACCGAGAGACATTATTTTTAACGCTTACGTCGGACGGAATCCGTTTGCGACGATCGACTGCTCCGATTATTAAGTGCCGTTTATTATTATTGAAATAAAAAAAAAACGTCCCGCGTGCATAATATTATTGTTTTTGCAGGTTTTTTTTTTTTTAATGACGCTCGACGGCCATTTTATCGTCGCAATTAAACGTTTCAAAACGTCCCATCGAAATGTAATTTATCGTAAACACACAATAATATATTATACAACACAGACTTACGTACTATAATAAGTACGCGTGAGCGTAACTGATGACAATAATTGTTATTATTACAATTGTCCAGGTCGATCGCGATCGTATGGTACCTATGCGTAGCACGACGAAACTCTAGAAAATCGACTGCCAACAGTATGGTTGTAGTTGTTCGATACGAGTCGAGCCGACCAACGATTCCAACGAATGTCTTCGAAAATATTCGAACAATGATATATTGTCGTAATCGTTAAAAAAAATGATTTAATAATTGTTCCATCCACCACCGATTTTTTTTGGTGCACTCGAGCAGCATGTGTTGCATACTTGCACCCTAACTTTACCCGAC